GCATTATTCATGGGAACCAAAAGGTAGAAACAGTCCATCAAACAGTCCATCAGTTTGTGACTAGATAAACGAAAATGGCATGTTCATATGATGGAATAGTCTTCAGCATAAAAAACAAGGTATTTTTAATACATGCTACATTACTAGAACCCTCAAAACGTTATGCTAAGTGAATGCGAAGCCCAAAAGGCTGAACATTTTGTGATTCCATTTGTACAAGACATCTAAAATAGCCAAATTTGTAGAGATAGAAAGTAGATTTGTAATTACAGGAGGCTGGAAGGATTGGGAAATGGGGAATGCCTGCTAATGGGTACAGGATTTCTTTTAGGAGTAATGAAAATATTCTGGAGATCAGGTACACTCAGGGTGGTAGTGTTAACAAAGCAAACCTGGCCACATCCATGTGGCACCTTGACGCATAACCCAACAATTAGTGTTGAAACAGGTTTTTATTTATAAGATTTCAACCTTGAAGGAGGAGCTGAGAGCATTCCTGTTCAGAGCCCTGTTCTCCCATGAGACCCAGCACTTTCATTATTCCCTACCACGCTATAAGCTAAAAACATGCCCCCCAAATTCCCCATATCCTGATCTGTTCTTAAGCCAGCTGCACAAACAGTTCTCCATTTGCTCTGGAAGGCACACTCATGGGTTTCAGAGTTGCCATCCTTTCGCAAGAGCTCTCTCCTTCAGGATCTGGGGTATGTTGTCTTCAACCTCTGTGTAGTAGTCCAGGAAAACATGTGCATTTTTATTGTGGATCATGGTGAAGTCTAGGAAGGTACATGTCCCAAGAAAGAGGCTTCTCTATACATCCTTTAGATAAGCAAAAGTCAACAGTCTGAGCATTCCCCGCCACAGTTCAGTATTCCAGGCATCTCCCATGAATCTGTGCTTGGTTAGGTAGATCCCTACAATTCCCAGCTCCATCAGATTTGCCGGTATCTTCTTCAGACAGGCTTCCCAGTGGGTCCCTTCTTTCTCACTCCAGCTCCGGCTTGCTACAGACTGGCATGCCTGCTTCCCGGTCTACAGCCTGGATGGCTGCATCTCCTCATACCTGCCTTTCCCTTACTATACCCAGCTGCATGGTGGAATCCTGACTGTTGGCCAGTATGGCTTCTTGTTGCTTCCTCATTACCCCATGGTGGACCCACCCTTATTTTAAATGACCTGGAGCTTCCTACATGACCTCATATCTGGCTCCTTCTACAATTTGCTTATTTTGCCACTTCTCCCATATGTTTTACATTTATTCGGCTGCCATCTTTCGTGTGGACAAAGGTGACTCATTACACAGGGGCTTCTGCCTCCCTTGACTATATCATGAGTCCCTGAGTGTTCTTAAAGTCACGTAGTCCTTTTGCCAGGCCTGGTAGCACAACTATTAACTAGCCATCAACTTGCCACAAATAGGCAAAGTATACTAAGTGGTTTCATCCCTTCTCTTCCCCCAACCATGGGCAGTGGGAAATTTCTCCTATACTTTGAGGACCCCTCTGCACCCTGTTACAGCATGGTCTAACACACTGGAGGTAGCTTATGCAAATATTCTGGAGTTAGATCATGGCAATTGTACAATTCCAAACATACTAAGGACCACTAAATTGTACACTATAAAAAGGTGGATTTTTTTTTTCCGGCCAAGATGGAGGCATAGGTAGACACTGTGACTCCTCGCACAACCAAAATAAGGACAACAAAAATTTAGAAACAAAAAAACAACTAGTACTGAAAGAAAATTGAACTGTATGGAAGTTTGACAACCAAGGAGTTAAAGTAGACACATTCATCCAGACCGGTAGGAGGGGTGAAGTCGGGTGGCTGGGTGGAGAGGGGTCTCGGCAAAAAAAGTGGTGGCCAGTGGACCCCGGGCGCACAAGGTGGCAGCGGGCAGACCCAGGGAGGGGGCAGATCATGGAGGGGTGCAGCGTGCAAGATGGTTTAAAGAACTGGGTGGTCCCACATTCGCACACAGATAAACGAGGCTAAAATGGGGTGCAAGACAGACCATGCAAACCAGGGTCCCAGCATGGGGAAATAAAGCCTCAAAACAATTGAAAACACCTGTGGGGGTTAAAGTGCCAGGAGAGACTCCTAGCCTCACAGGAGAGTTTGTTGGAGAGACCCACAGGGGCCTAGAACATACACAAACCCACCTACATGACAGCACCAAAAGGGCTCAGTTTGCTTGGGGGAAGTGGTGGAAGGGACTGAAATCCAGCAGAGAGTAGAGTTAGCACCATTGTTCCCTCTTGGACCCCTGCCCCACATACAGTGTCACAACCCAGCAATTGGGTTGCCCTGCCCAGGTGAACACCTAAGGTTCCACCCCTCTATGTAACAGGTGCATCATGACAAACAAAATGGCCCAAATGAGAGAACAAATCAAAGCTCAGAGCAAATACAACTAAATGACAAAGAGATAGCCAACCTATCAGATGCACAGTTCAAAGCACTGGTAATCAGGATGCTCACAGAATTGGTTGAATTTGGTTGCAAATCGGGAAAAATTGAAGGCTATGCTAAGTGAAATAAAGGAAAATATTCCCACCGATAGTGATGGGAAGGAAACTGGGACTCATCAATGGAGTGGAGCAGAAGGAAGAAACAACCAACTAAACGAAAAAGAAGAAACTAGAATTCAAAAAAATGAGAAGAAACTTAGGAACCTCCAGGACATCTCTGAACGTTCCAACATCTGAATTATAGGAGTACCAGAAGGAGAAGAGGAAGAGCAACAAGTGGAAAACTTATTTGAACAAATAATAAAGGAGAACTTCCCCAATCTGGCAAAGGAAATAGACTTCCAGGAAGTCCAGGAAGCTCAGAGAGTCCCAAAGAAGCTGGACCCAAGGAGGAACACACCAAGGCACATCATAATTACATTAGCCAAGATTAAAATGAAGGAGAGAATCCTAGAAGCAGCAAGAGATAAGGAGACAGTTATCTACAAAGGAGTTCCCATCAGACTGTCAGCTGGTTTCTCAAAAGAGACCTTGCAGGCAAGAAGGGGCTGGAAAGAAGTATTCCAAGTCATGAAAGGCAAGAACCTCCATCCAAGATTGCTCTATATAGCAAAGCTTTCATTTAGATGGAAGGGCAGATAAAGCACTTCTCAGATAAGGTCAAGTTAAACGAGTTCATCATCACCAAGCCCTTATTATATGAAATGTTAAAGGGACTTATCTAAGAAAAATAAGATAGAAAACATGTACAGTAAAATGACAGCAAACTCACAATTATTAACAACCACACCTAAAATAAAAACTAAGCAAACAACTAGAACAGGAACAGAACCACAGAAATGGAGATCACATGGAATGTTAGCAACAGGGGAATGGGAGGAGGAGAGGGGGGAAAAGGTACAGAGAGTAAGTAGCATAGATAGTAGGTAGAAAATAGGGGGAGGGTAAGAATATGAGGAATGTAGAGGATAAGGAACTTATAAGTATGACACATGGATATGAACTAAAGGGGGGAATGTGGGTGGGAGAGGGTATGCAGGGTGGAGGGGAGTGAAGGGGGAAAATGGAACAACTAATGGCATGATCAATAAAGTATATTTAAAAAAGTGAATTTTATGGTATAGGAATTATCAATTATAAAATATTTTAAAACAAATTAAAATGTGATGTATAATGTAAATATTTTGATTAAAATTTGATTACATTTTATTATAAAGCATAGTGGGAAATTAGATGTAATCTTAAATTCTTGGGTACTTTCTAACATGTATGTTGTAAATATCTGTAGTAAAATAAAAATGTTTTTGTGGGTTTTCGAAAGTGGTCATTTTAGGTAAAGTTTGATTATTGGTTTTTGGTCCCAATATGATTTTATTAGGATTATATTAATAGGTTAGCTATGGTTGTGGGGTGTGTCTTCTCAATTTGTTAGCAGGTTAGAGAATACATTTTGGTACTTGATTGCAAGGTTTATTTAATAGAAAAGGAGTTATTAATTTTTATAATGCTAGATTCATGATGACTTAGCATGTAGGGCAAACTAAAGTGAAATTAACCATAGCATACCTTAACAGGTGATTGACAACTACTGTAGATTTGTGTATGAATTTACCTCTTTTATAAAGTAGGTGCCAACTGCCAAATGTATTAAATATTTAAAATTGAGAGGAAAAGTACAATGATTTAATTTGTCATTTTAAAAATTAGGATTCTTAGTGCTAAAGTAGTAAAAGAAATTAAATAAACTTTGTTTTCTAAGTTATTGTACCTCAGAGGCTTAATCTTCACTATTGTAAGTTTGGAGCTTCCCAGAAAACAAAAATAACTGCAGTGTGTAAATTAACAGGTATTGCTGCATGCAAAACTGTCCTGGAACTCAATGACTTAAAACAACACTTTATTAATTTTGCTTATACATTTGTAGAGTGGGTTAGGTAATTTAGGTTAGGCTTGGCGGGGCATCTTTGGGTGTGGGTGGGCTTCTCATTGTGGGTTGGGCTTGGAACCTTATTTGGGATTTGGCTTAGTTCTACTCCTTGTGTTTATTCTGGGTCCTAGGCTGAAGGGGCAGTGTCTATTTGGTGAAGCTTTTTTTCTTGGTGATGGCAGAGATACAAGAGTGCAAGCCCAACTACACAAAGACATTGCAAATCTTTGCATCATTTCTGCTGACGTCCCATTAGCTGAAACAAGTCAGATGGCCAAGGCTTTGGAGGCAGGGAAATACATTTTGCTCACCTGGAGACTGGAATAAGGAGTGGTCAAGCTCAGCATTAGTTAGGAAGAAAGATACACTCCCACGTAGGTGGGGTTTGGGGTAGGATGAAGTGATTATTTTGGAAGAAAGCCCACATATATTAAACTCATATAAATATGAGATGGTGCCCATGTTGCAGCTGTGTGATGTTTTGCATGTAATTATGAAAATGGTTGTTAAGCCATTGTTGACTTAGTCTTGCTTAGTGTAAGTTGTTTTATTACATCATTTAATAGATAATACTGTTTTTGTATTCTTGTGTTTTTTAATAGATTGTTTTATCTTAGCTATAGAATTTTCATTTAAAGATTAATTCCCAAATAACATGGGAAGTTATTAGAAGCATCATTCGTCAACTTAAAGAAAAAAGAAATATGCGATTTCCATCTTAAGGTAAGTGGCTTATACTTTCATAATTTGGTGCTTTCCAAGATGATTAGTTAGTGTGCCAAATATACTTTATATTTTCAGAGAGAAATATAACTAATATTTTAAGTTTTTGCCAAGATTATATGTCTACATAATAAAACATTTAAGTGGATATATAAGTGAAAAGAGCTTTTTTCACAGTTGTGACAGTTCTTGTATATTTACAGTTCTTTTATATTTATATTATTCTGTTATCACAGTAGCTATTTGTGGTTTCTTTCTTGTGAATATAGAATGCACTAGCTTTTGCTATTTATTGACTGTATTTTTTGCCACTTGTGTCTCTCAAACTTGGCTTCTGAATTTTGTGACAAGGCTCAAAAGCATTTTCTCTCTGAGAATAAATATTAAAATTCTCACACTATTTTAATGGTTTAATTTTTAATGACTAATTTTTTCCTAGATATCATCTCACTCTTAAACCAAAATTGCCCAGATGGTTACCTGGCTGTCTTAACATCAGTTAATGAATAATCTTTTCTTCATTAATTTGAAATTAATGAAATTAATACCACCTTTATAAATATGTACTAAATTTCTTTAAGCGTTCTGGCCCGTTTTAGAGTCTCTCTTACCTTATTGATATGTTGAAACTAAATTGTTAATTATTACAACTAAACATATTTTAATATCAGCAAGCACAAATCTATACCCATTACATTTTTTTGATTTATGTATGTGTGTAGTATTGAAACTGGTGTGTGATATTTTCTTCTGTTATATATTTCAATTGATAGTTGTTTATTTAAAGCTTTTGGGGTTTTTTTTAACCTATTTACTATAGTGAATTCACATACTAATAGTTTTTCTATTGATTGCCTTGGATTTTTTTTCTGCAAATAATTTTCTTTCAAAATTTCTTTTATTATCTCTCCTTATTTAATTGTATCACCTCTGCAACACTCTTAAAGATATTTGCTGAATTAGTGGAAGACTTCTTGTGTTACCCCATATAGCATGATTCTTGCTTTTTTTGGTTTGTGTACTCCAAAAGTTGATGGTACTAAGAAAGAAATATTTGCAGGTATCCTCAATATTTCAGTATTGCCAACTCATTCCTTTTATTGGCATGAGTAGAGAATCAAGACTGGGTACATAAGCATATTTGTATTATCAATAGCACTTCTTTTTATAAAATCTTTTTAATTATCTAACTTATTCACATGAAATTCAGTAATGGCACATATGTTATCTTTTCCTTGTTTATTTCTGAACTCTTTTCTCCTTTTTCTCTGATTCACTTTAATACATTCATTTTTTGCTGCACTTTCTCTTGTAATTCCTAGAATACATATGGGAAGTCAATTCTTTGAAACCCTACATGTTTAAGAGTATTCTTATTCGAGGCTCACACTTAATTATTTGGACATTGAATTCTACTTTGAACATAATTTTCTTTCTGCGTTTTGAAGAATTTTCCCCTTACCTCTGTTCTCTTGGTATTGAGAAGTCTATGTAATTCTGATTACATACATTTGAGGGTTTTTTCCTCCCTCTAGAAACTTGAGGGTCATCTTACATTTCTCATAATATGCTTTTTAAAATCTTATTGTCATTGTGCTAGATAATTTTGGCCATTTTAATCTAGGAACTTGTGTCTTTAGTTGTAGGAAATTTCTTGTATTCTTTTTTTTAGTGCTTTTTCTCTTTTTTCTAACCCCAGTTACTAGGTTATTGGATGTTCATTGATAGTCCTTTACTTTTCTTATCTTTTTGTCTCCTGTTTGTCATCTGAATCTTTTTGTTTAACTTTATAGAGATCTCCTTACCTTTATCTTGTAATGCTTTTATTAACTTTTAAATTTCTTTTGTACTATTTTTCATTTTAAAGACATCTTTTTTGTGCTATGAATGTTTTTGTGTATTTCGTGGATGAATTGACCTTTTTTAAAGTTTTTGTTACTGCATAGTTTGTTTCTTCCAAACTACTTGTTTCCTGTTTTTCTTTTTCTTTTCCTTTTCCATTTTAAGGTTTTCTTTGTGTATGTGGAAATTCTTGTTTATTTCCTCAGTGGTTACAATCGAGGTACTGAAAACTGATTGTATGCTGCCTGTGTTGAAATAGTGGGTGGGCTGGTAGTCTGATTATAGGGTGTGAGTTGGTGTGTATGTGTCCCTTTTTTCGGCTTTCAGTAATTTTATTTTCCAGTTGCAATTGGCATACAATATTATATTAATTTCTGGTGTACAACCTAGAGATTATATGTTATATGACTTACTAAGTGATCATCCTGGTAAATCTAGTACCATTCTAACCTTCTATAGTTATTGCAGTGTTATTGACTCATTCCTTTTGCTGTACTTTACATCCCCGTGACTTCTGTAACTATCAAATTGTACTTTCTAATCCCTTCACCTTTATCACCCATTCCCCTAATCCCCTTCGCATCTGGCAGAATGTTCTCTATGAGTCTGTTTCTGTTCTGTCTATTTTGTTTTGTGAGAGTCCACATAAAGCTGACATTACATAGCATTTTTCTTCCTCTGTCTGACTTATTTCATTCAGCACAATACCCTCTGTATCCATCTATGTTGTTGTAGATTGCAAGATTTCTAATTGTTCATAGATATGTATTTATTGCCATTTTATTCACATTTTTATTTATCTTTTTCTTCTTAAAGAAGACCCTTTAATGTTTTCTCAATACTGGTTTGGTGGTGATAAACTTACTTAGTTTTTTCTTGTCTGTGCAGCTCTTGATATAGAGTAATCTTGGTTGTAGGTCCTTGCTTTTAATCACTTTGAATATTTCTTGCCAGTTCCTTTTGGCCTGCAAAGCTTCTGTTGAGAAATCACCTGATAGTCTTATGGGAGCTCCCTTGTAAATAACTAACTGCTTTTCTCTTCCTGCTTTTAAGATTCTCTCTTTTTAACCTTTCATGTTTTCATTGTGATGTGTCTTGGTGTGGGCCTCTTTGGGATCACCTTGTTTGGGACTATCTATGCTTCCTTAACTTGAATGTCTGTTTCCTTGACCAGTTGAGGTAAGTTTCCATCATTATTATTTTTCGTTAGTATTTATTTATTTATTTATTTTTAATTTTTTGTTGTGCAATTACAGTTGTCTGCATTTTCCCCTCACCACTCCCCCCCACCCCAGCCAATTCTACCTCCCTCCCCTCCACCCTCCCCCTTGGTTTTGTCCATGTGTCCTGTATAGTAGTTCCTGAAAACCCTTCTCCCCACTGTCCCTTCCTGCTTCCCCTCTGGCTGTTGTTAAATTGTTCTTAATTGCAGTGTCTCTGGTTATATTTTGTTTGCTTTTTTCTGTTGTTGATTTTGTTCCAGTTAAAGGTGAGATCATGTGGTATTTGTCCCTCACCACCTGGCTTTTTTCACTTAGCATAGTGTTCTCCAGTTCCATTCATGTTGTCGCAAGGGGTAGGAACTCCTTTTTCCTCTCTGCTAGAAGTTCTCTGCATAGAATTCCATTGTGTAAATGTACCATAGTTTTTTGATCCACTCACTCACTGACGGGCACTTAGGTTGCTTCCAGCACTTGGCTATTGTAAATTGTGCTGCTATGAACATTGGGGTGTGTAGGTTCTTTTGGATTGGTGTTTCAGGGCTCTTAGGGCATAATCGTAGCAGTGGAATTGCTGGGTCAAAAGGCAGCTCCATTTTTAGTGTTCTGAGAAAATTCCATAGTGTTTTCCACAGTGGCTGCACCAGTTTGCATTCCTACCAACAGTGCACTAAGGTTCCCTTTTCTCCATATCCTCTCCAGCACGTTTGTTGTTTTGTTTATGATGGCCATTCTGACCGGTGTGAAGTGGTATCTCATTCCATGGTTATATTTTTCACATAGGTTTTTATTTTTGCTCTCTCTTCTGGCATCCCCATGATGTGAATGTTGGTGTGCTTGTTTTTGTCCCAGAGGCTCCTTATACTATCATCATTTTTTTTTTTCTGTTCCAGTTGGGTGCTTTCTACTTTTTTATCTTTCAAATCTCTAATTTGATCTTCTGCTTCATCTACACTACTGTTGATTCCCTGTAGTGTATTCTTCATTTCTGACTGGTTCTTTTTTGTTTTCTAGTTTCTTTTTGTTTCTTATCTCTTTGTTGAAGTTTTCATTATGTTCATCTACTCTTCCCCTAAGTTCATTGAGCATCCTTATAACCAGTGTTTGACCTTTGCATCTGTAAGATTGCTTGTTTCCATTTTGTTTAGTTCTTTTTCTAGAGTTTGGTCTGTGCTTTAATTTGGGATTTGTTTCTTTGTCGCCTCATTTTGGCCACTTCCCTGTATTCGTTTCAGTGAATTAGATAGAGCTGCTTCATCTCCTAGGCTTGGTAGAGTGGCCTTTTGTTGTAGGTGTTAAGTGTCCTATAGCATCCAGTGGCACAGCCTCATCATTCACCAGAGCTGGGCACTCCAGGTGTGCCCCCTCTGTGGGTTGTAGTTGTGCCTTAATTGTTGGCACCTCAGTGGAAGGAATTTACCCCCCAGGCCAATCAGCTGCAAGGACTGGCTGACTACCTCTAAGGATCAGTTGTGCAGGGGCTCAGCCCATTTAGCAGGACTTACTTCAGTGGGGCTCTGCTCTGGTAACCACTGAGTTTGCCACTTGAGTGTGTCACTTGTGGAGGTGGTTGGGTGGTGCTTTGATGTGGTCTGAAGCTGTCTCTGGAACCTCCTGGGAGGTGCAGGCTAAGGTCACCTGGCATGAGCTACAAAACAGCCTGTAGATGGCTGCTAGTTGTGCTAGGTTTGTAGGTGCACAGGAAAGGCCAAGCTGTGAACCAGGCCTGCATGTGCCAGGCCTAGGGCCATTTAGCAGGAGGTACAAGGCATACCAAGGCCAGATGCTACTTGTTTGAGAGATTTTAGGAAAGTCTGAAGCATGAGCCAAGATAGGCTGTTTGTATTGAAAAGCCCCTGGAAATGGCTTAGGTTGGGCCTACAAGTTGGGTGGGGTGGGGTCTCAGGGAAATCACCAGGGCAGGTTTGTCAGCCCTAGCCAGGTTGATGGGAACTCAGATCTGGCACCTGCCTGCTTTGTGCTGGGAGGCTCAGAAAAGGAACAAAGTCCTCTGCCAGCACTCTGTTGGGGAGAAAGCTGCCCCTCCACTCCTTGTCCTAATGTCAGACAATTCAGTTCCTCCCTGTATGTTTCCGATGCCTTTCAAGCTGCTGCCCCAGCACTAGCGCTTAGAGCAAGGGAGTCTGAGTAAGTCCATGCACAGCCCTTTAAGAGGAATGCCTGAGCCTCCAGCCACTCACCAACTCACTCATCCAGAAACTCCACTGGTTTTTGCAACCAGAAGTTATGAGGACTTTTCTTCCTGGCCTGGAATCAAGGACTAGGGGGCCTGGTGTGGGCTTGGGACCCCCTCATTCATCACAGGGGACCTCTGCAGCCCAGATATCCCTCCTGATTTATATCTGCCACTCCTGAATGTGGGACCAGCTTGTTTGGTGTCTCTACCCCTCCTACCAGTCTTGATGTGGCTTTTTTATATCCTTAGTTCTAGGACTTAACATTGGGCTAGTTTTCAGGTGGTTCTGAATGATGGTTGTCATGTAGTTTAGTTGTAATTTTTATGTGGTTGTGCAAGGATTCTAGTACTGCATTTACCTATACCACCATCTTGACTGGTGTGTGTGTGTGTGTTTAGTGACTATGGAACCTATCAGTATTTTTTAGGTCTTTTCTCTAGGTTTGTCAAATTGATTACAAAATACTGTAATCTTTCACTTTTCTTTGTAGAAGGCATAGGCTTGGCTGCTGTCCTCCAGGAGTCTCTGAGTAGATGAAGAAGGCTTTGGGTGAAGGGAGTAGGTTTCAGCAATCAGTTTATGTACTCCTACTTAATCCTCTGTTGTCATTTTAATACTTCTTGCCTGAGCTGTGACCGTTAAGCCCCCAGATGAAAGAACTTTTGTTTTATTTATTCTAGAGATTTATACCTCCAGTCTTCAGGTAGTGATGCAGGTCAGTCTTCTGGGTGCTAGTAATTGGAAAGGCAGTCTCGGAGCCTTTCCTCTTTTTTTTTTTGAGTCACCATTTTTATCCCCATCTCTTATGGAGCCTGGTATTACCACTTCCTGGGTCCTGGAGGATTCTGTGCTTTATGGAGAAAACTGAGAGGCAGCTCAGGATTTGCAGCTCAGGATTCAGGTTTTCTCGAGTTTGAGGTTAATTATTATTTGTCTTTCTTTGTAGCTTCCATACTTTTTATTTTATTGTTTTCTCTTTTGTTCTTTTCCTTTAGATTTATGGTTTTGTCTTACTTTATCTTTATTTTTTTTTAAAGATTTTATTTATTTATTTTTAGAGAAAACGGAAGGGAGGGAGAAAGGGAGAGAAACATCAATGTGTGGTTGCCTATCGTGCACCCCCTATTGGGGAACTGGCTTGCAACCCAGGCATGTACCCTGACTGGGAATCAAACCAGTGACCCTTTGCTTTGCAGTCTGGCCCTTGGTCCACTGAGCCACACCAGGAAGGGTTTGGATTTATGGTTTTGTCTTATTTTAATGCATTGTATATTTTTAGTAGATTTTACAGAAGAATAGAGATTAATGTGTGTTTAAATTTGCCCTTTTATCTGTCTATTTTTCTATGTGTAGAGTTATTTATGTAGCACTGATTTTCCTCAAAATAGGATTTTACTTTATCAGTTTAACATATATGCACATATGACAAATTTTTTTCTGTATTTTAATACTTTATTTTATTTTTTTAATGTATTTTATTGATTATGCTATTACAGTTGTCCCATTTCCCCCCTTCTCTCCCCTCCACCCTGTACCCCCTCTCCCACCCACGTTCCCCCACTTTAGTTCATGTCCATGTGTCGTACTTCTGAGTTCTTTAGCTTCTACATTTCCTGTACTATTCTTGCCCTCCCCCTATCTAATTTTCAACCTACATTCTATGCTACTTATTCTCTATACCTTTTACCCCTCTCTCCTCCCACCCCCCTGCTGCTAGCTCTCCATGTGCCCTCCATTTCTGTGGTTCTGTTCCTGTTCTAGTTGTTTACTTAGTTTCTTTTGGTTTTGCTTTAGGTGTGGTTGTTAATAATTGTGAGTTTGCTGTCCTTTTACTATACATGTCTTTTTCTTTATCTTCTTTTCTTAGATAAGTCCCTTTAGCATTTCATAAAATAAGGGCTTGGTGATGATGAACTCCTTTAACTTGACCTTATCTGAAAAGCACTTTATCTTCCCTTCCATTCTAAATGAGAGCTTTGCTGGATAGAGTAATCTGGGATGTAGTTCCTTGTCTTTCATGACTTGGAATATTTCTTTCCAGCCCCTTCTTGCCTGTAAGGTCTCTTTGGAGAAATCAGCTGACAGTCTGATGGGAACTCCTTTGTAGGTTACTGTCCCCTTATCTCTTGCTGCTTCTAGGATTCTCTCCTTCATTTTTACCTTGGCTAATGTAATTATGATGTGCCTTGGTGTGTTTCTTCTTGGGTCCAACTTCTTTGGGGCTCTCTGAGCTTCTTGGATTTCTTGGAAGACTGTTCCCTTTGCCAGATTAGGGAAGTTCTCCTTTATTATTTGTTCAGATACGTGCTCCATCTGTTGCTTTTCTCCTTCCCATTCTGGTACCCCTATAATTCGGATGTTGGAACGTTTAAAGGTGTCCTGGATGCTCTTAAGCTTTTCCTCGATTTTTTGAATTCTTATTTCATCATGCTTTCCTGCTTGGTTGATTCTATCTTCCTTCTGGTCCACTGTATTGTTTTGAGACTCAGATTCCTTCCTTTCACTATTGACTCTCCTCCGTGTATCTTCCTGCATCTCTTTTATGGTAACCTGCATCCTTTCATCTAATTTGCGCCCAAAATCAACCAATTCCGTGAGCTTTCTGATCACCAGTGTTTTGAACTGTGCATCTGATAGATTGGCTATTTCTTGGTCGCTCAAAAGGATGAGTCCTGGGGGGACTGATCTGTTCTGTTGGAAACATGTCTTATGTCTTTCCCTGTCTCTCCTTTTTTTTTCCCGGTCTGGTCGCTCTTGTTACGGTGGGGGGCAGAGCCTTAGGTGTTCACCGGGGCTGGGCACCCCTGTCGCTAGATTGTGACGTTATATGTGGGGGCGGGGGCGGGGGTGGGAGCGGGAGGGGGAGGGAACAATGGCAGTAGTTCCGTTCTCCTGGGCTCAGACCCTTCTTTGGGTTCCTGGGCTGCGAGCTCTGCCCTGGTCCACAATCGCTGCCTCACTGGGTCTGCCAGCCGCAGCTTGCGTACTTAGGGATCACCGCTGCGCCCCGGATGGCTGTCGTGCCGATTTCGCGCCAAATTTTCCCCAACCTCCGCGCGCCGCTGACTTGCGCCAGCCCGGCTCGTCTTCTCCTACCAGTCTGGATGTACGGGTCTACTTCAACTTCTTGGCTGTCCGACTTCCATTCAGATAAATCCTCTGTCAGTTCTGAGCGATATTCTGTTTGTAAATTATTGTTGTTCTAATCTTGGTTGTGCGAGGAGGTACGATGTGTCCACCTATTCTTCCATCTTGCCGGAAGTAGATTTTTTAAAACATAGATTGATTGCATGCTATTCTGTTGGATGCATGTAATATCAATTAACTTCATGTTAGAAATACTGAAATTATGCTGTATGTTAAGTGAGCTCTGAAGACCAATGATAGGATGGTAAAATTATGGAGTGTTATGTTTAATGAGAGGTGAATCATTGATTACATTTTTCTTATATACCTTTTAAGCCTTAAAAATACTTTTTCTTTTAGGTGCCATATAATGTATTGAGCTACAATAAGGAATGATTTTGTCAAATTTTCATGAGTTATGGTGGCTGAAATATCAATTCTGTCTTGTGGGAAAAGAACTGTAAGTAATCTCAAGTAATAAACTGATTTTCAACATGTGTGCTTAAATAAGACACATTATTGATTTATTCATAGGAATGTACTTGGGATACTTTATTCTGTTAGCTTTAATTATACAGGCCAAATAATTCAAAAGGAGAAGTTAGATTTTATATTAAAAAATATTATTTCTGTGTAGTGTTAGTATTGCCATGTTTCTTCAAGTGTACAAAATTTAATTTTTATCTTTTTTAATTTTTCAGAAATGGCAGCACAAAAAGAAATCTATATTAATAAAATATTTTATTAAACGAAAGAGGTTATATAAGAACTTGGAACCAGCAGACTCAGCAAACGAGGGAAGGAACGCATTAGCTGTAAGACATGTTTCAAATGAATCAAAGTTCAATATCTGTAGATTCCAGAAGACAAAAGTTTTCAAAAACTTTGTCAAAACAGACAGGTCAGTGATAAATAACTTATCCAGTATTAGGGCTAGGCCTGAAATCCAATATTAATCAACAAATTAACAAAACAGATTGAACTAAATTTTTTTCATAAAAAGTTCTAAAAATATCAGAATTAAGTTTTCTCCAAATTTATATCGCCTTTCCTAAAGCAAAGTAGATATCTTTCAGTCTTGATGCCAGCTTTTCTTATATCGAAGGGATGACAGAAACCTTACTTGAAGCAAACTAGTATTATGTTGAAAATGTGTATCAGCATCAAAGTCAATTTTTAAGACCTGCTCCTCAGTAATAATACTGGACATTCAGCATTCTCACCTTTCAGGACACAAGAATCCTCTCAGAAGTTATTCAAAACAGGAGGACCTGACTCAGGAACAATGTCCATTCAGGAGAAATCAAAAGAAAATCCCTCCAATGTTATTAAAAAAAGTGAGGATAAGAATTTAGAAGCACAAATTCAAGGTTCTCAAAAAAATCTAGCAAAAAAATCGAATCCAAAGGAAGCTATAAAATCACTAGTTAAATCTTCCAGTGAAAGTAAAATAAATCAGCCTGAATTAGGCATATGTATGAATACGAGGTCAGCAACAGCAGCATTCAATGATGAAAAAGCTAATAGGTCCATTAATAAAAATATGGCGACTATGAAGAGACTTTCACAACAAGAATCTACAAAAAATAAGAAATCTCAGAAAAAATCAGTGCATGAGACCCCAAAATCAAATGAACAGCTTAACCGGAGATCACAAAGACTACAACAGCTAACAGAGGTTTCAACAAGGTCTCTGCGTAGTAGAGAAATTCAGGGTCAAGTTCAAGCAGTTAAACAGAGTTTGCCACCAACAAGAAAAGAGCACTGTAGCAATACTCAAAATAAATCTAATAAAGTTAAAACAACTCAAAAACATGTAAAAAGAAAAATACTGGAAATAAAGTCTGATTCTAGAGTGCATGAAAATCCAGTCATTAATAATGAAGTAGTAACTTCTCCAAAAGGAAAAAAACGCAAAGTAGAGCATCAGACAGCTTATACTTGTAGTTCTCAGTACGTAAAAGGATCTGAAAACTGTCTTCAGAAGAATACTAGAAAAGAGGAAACAAAATCTGTGCCTGTAATTTCTGAGATAAAAAGGTCAAAAATGGTTACTGGAGTGGTCTCTAAAAAGAATGAGATGAAGAAATCAGTTCATTCACAAGTGAATACTGGTTCAAAACCTCAGAAAAGTCCACAGCCATCAGTGCCTGAACAAAGTGTAGATAATGAGCAAGGAGGAAAGACCAAACGAGGTAGCATTCTCCAGCTCTGTGAAGAAATTGCTGGTGAAATCGAGTCAGATACTGTAGAGGTAAAAAAGGAATCTTCACAAACAGAAAGTGTAAAGGAGGAAAAGTCTACAGAAAAAAAATCAGAACAGATTGATATTGAAAGACAAATACTTGATCAGAAGGAAACCAATCAGGATGTTCAATGTAATCGTTTCTTCCCCAGTAGAAAAACAAAGCCTGTAAAATGTATACTAAATGGAATAAACAGCTCAGCTAAAAAGAACTCCAACTGGACTAAAATTAAACTCTCAAAATTTAACTCTACACAGCAAAATAAGTTGGACTCTCAAGTTTCCCCTAAATTGGGCTTATTACGAACTAGTTGTACACTACCAGCATTAGAAATGCCTCATCCAGGTACTCAAAGTACATTTTTAGGGACAAAATCACGTGATGATAAAAACATAGCTTGCCAGCAGGAAGAAATGAAAGAAGTTAATTCTGAAGAAGTTAAAATTAGTGATATTACAGTTGAAATTAATAAAACCACAAAAAGGGCTCCTGAAAATTGTCATTTGGATAATGAGATAAAACCACCTCCTGACTCACCATTGGATAACCAGATGAAAGATTATTTTGAATCAACACCAGATAAGGTAATCTATTTTTATTATACACAATAGAGCTGTCTGAGTACATTCTAATAAGAAATAAGTGTTTACAACATACTTTATCTTAGGAATCATAAAACACTAAAGCGTCATTTTGTTTATGCATCCTTATCTATTGTTAGCAAGAGTTTTATTGATCCAGTCTTGTAGTGAGTGATAGAATTTACTGAGTTCTTTAGATATCTGGCGTTTATGTGAATGCTTCTCATTGTTTCCTCATGTTCATCCTCCATTTTAACTTTATTTGAAGCATAAACCTGTTGAATTCTAGCTTTTCTTTTTCAGTTAACACAGTGATATGTTTCATTTTTCTGTTAATTGTAATCATAGGAACTATGTTTCATAGTGACTAAAATGTAGAACTTAAATTCTGATCAAGCTGTTAAAATTAATTTTAGCTGGCCACAAATCAACCTATTTTCTCTACCTGATAAAATTAAAAACTTAAACATTTCTATTGGTAGGGATGCCTCTGGTTTGCCATTTTGAACAGTTGACAAAGAGTATGTCTGGAAGATGTAAATAATTCAATCTTCAGTCTAAGAATAAAATTATAGTGTCTTAGAATTTTTAAAATGGAAAATAAATGAAAAACAATCTGATAAAAAGAAACTTTAATGAATTATCTAAGGCAGTAGTTTTGAAACTTTATAAAAGCAGCTAAGACCATTCTTTTTTAAAAAAACTTTATTGTTAGCCCTGGCTGGCGTAGCTCAGTGGATTGAGCGTGGGCTGCAAACCAAGGCATCGCAGGTTCGATTCCTAGTCAGGGCACATGCCTAGGTTGCAGGCCACGGCTCCACAGCAACCACACATTGATGTTTCTCTCTCTCTCTTTATCCCTCCCTTCCCTCTCTAAAAATAAATTTAAAAAATCTTAAAAAAAAGATTAAAAAAAACTTTATTGTTGACACTATTACTATAGTATCTTTATTTTCTTCCCCTTTGCCGGTTTCCACCCAGACCTTGTGCATTCTTCCCTCTAGCCATCACCATGCTGTTGTCTGTGTCTACAGGTTATTCGGTTACGCATATATGTTCTTTGGCTAATCCCTTCAACTTCCTTTATCCAGTCTCCCCTGCCCCCTCCCTTCTTCACTCTCCCCTCACCTCTAGTATCTGTAAGTCTGTTCCATGTATCCACGCCTCTGTTTCTCTCTTGTTGTTTCTCCTTTGTTTCTCCTTGTGTTTATTTAGTTTATTTTGTTCATTAGATTGCACATATAAGTGAGATCATATGCTGTTTATCTTTCTCTAACTGCAGCTAAGCCCATTTCTTCCCAAATTAAAACATAGGTAAAATATCAATATATAAAACCAATGAGCAGAAGTTATATAGGCCTAGAGCCATGGAGTTCTTCAGTATGACTTTTAAAAACTCCATTAATTTGTTTCCATTATTTAAATTTATGAGAAAACTGGGAGCAATAGAGGAATGTGGTTGGGTCACATGTTTGGTGGCACAAATAAGATTAAAATCCAGGTGTCCTGAATCTCAGCCCAGCATTCTTTGAATAGCAACATAGTTTGAGCATTAGAAGATGATTTGAGAAAGAAATTATCATGATTAGAGAAAAAAGTCATATCAGCTTTTGAGAGTGATTTAAAGTTCTCTTTTAGAGGCATTTTGGTCTAGGAGCAAATTTGAATGAGGAGTCTTGGCTTTATGCCAGAAGTCATGAAAATACGTATCATTGCCTATTCTCATGGACTAAATCAAAGTGAATTTAAAGGGAACAGACACCATATGGTATGCTTAGATTTTATTTTCTGTACTGATGCTAATTGAAATCATCAATTAAAAGATTATTTAGTGATAGTAACTAGAATTAAGTAGTGAGTGGAGTATGGGTAATAAGTGTGGCTACTTGTAGACATGGGGTGGCTTTCTACTGAGCATGTTTTGTCCGCGACTTTATAGTTTATAATCCAGGTGTTGTTGGAGAGGATTGTCTAACTCCTTGATGCATAAATACCTGTCAAAACTTAAAAGGCAGACAGTTTGTATAGAATATATTGAAAAATAAGAAATGTAGTTCATTTCTTTGAACTGTACTAGAATAGAGATGCTTACTTAGACCACATTATTTTAACCTATATTATTGCTTTTACTAAAATATGCTTTGGATTTATACAGTACCTCTGTCTTGAGGAACATTATGAGAAATAGTCCTATGAAACTTTGTTAAAAATTCTACTTAAACTTGAAAATTACATTTCAGATTTTCCAGAGTACTACAAAGATTAACATTACACTCATTTCTGCCATCCAAATTTGACAAAAATTAACATTTTATTGAATATGGATCTTTTAAAGTAAGAAAAATACATTACAGATAGAGTTAAAGACCATACCTTCTCCTTCCCATTCAACCCTCTTCCTAGAGTTAAACATGTCCTTGAAGTTGGTGCGCATTTTTCTGTTTTTATTTTTATGACATTATTGTGTATTTGTATATAGTCAGCACTGCGTGTATGTTTTAAATGTTTACATAAATGCTAACAGTTTGTATGTGTAGGAGAATGTGAAAACAAACCTTACATTATTTGAAAACTTTTTCTATGGCTGTCTATAATTTTGCTCTTTTAATTATACAGTGTCGATCATAGCTATTCTCAGAAATGATGATTGATAAGGCTAAGCATATCATCTGATGGGCCTTCTGTGAATTCTTTGGGCTGAATTTACATTATTTGGACTGCATGGATTATAAAGCTCAATTATTTTTTAATTTGTTTTTAAACCAGTAACTTACTAACTTCCTTTTAATGGAGATTAATTTGTAACATGCTGCTGCTGTTACTAATTTTTCTGCTTTGTGAGTGAAAAAGTCCATCTTTTTCAAAAAGTAAAATGTTCAAAAATAATGTTACATGTTCATTGTAACAATCTCAATACAGATATATAATGCACACACGGAAAAGTTAATTATTTTCCTTATTTCCTTTTTTTTTGAGATAGCCAATGTTGATAGAGATTGGAGTTCATTTTCTTTTGGAAGTTACTAAGTGTCTGTTTTGACAAGGTTCTGATTTAGGGACTCTTAGGCATAGAGAGATAAATATAGTAATGGTCTTTGCACTTAAGAGTTATAGGAAATGAATCAAAAAGAAATAACTGATTCAAAATAGGAATGATAATGTCACTGGACAGGTACTGGGCCTGGAGTGTGTTTGCCTAAGGCAGGCCTGTAGTGTGTGTGGGTTCTTGACTTTGTGCAGGAAAGATTTCACCATACAAGTCCAGGTGATTTTGAGAGTAAGTTTATTAAAGCTGGGGACAGTGAAACAGAGGAAGGAATTAGTGTAGAAAAAGCAACAGGAGAGAGCATAGGTAGCACTCTGCTTTGGCTCCCTAGGAATGTTATAGGAAAGAAGTGAACCCAGGTGGGGCTACTGTTAGTTAGGTCACTGGAATGTGAAAGTCACAGTGACAGAAGTGAGCCATAGTGGGGCTGCTTTTGTAAAAAAAAACTCAATGGAAAGTCAGAGAAAAACAGCCCTGGAGACAGGATTGGGGGTAAATCTGGGGCTAACCGCTGCTCCCCACTGTCCCCCGGTTGCAAGTCTCATGGAGACCCTTAGAGTTTAGGAGGAAATAAGAAAGTTCATGCCAATGAAGGGGCATGGGTGTGCTCTAGAGTGAGCCCACACTAGTATCCTTTGTCTTGAGGGTTTTATCTCCTGTGGGGGAGAATCTTAGGGGAGGGTTTCAGCAGAATATTCATTAGCTTTCCAGGTGCATTTTTAATATCAAAATGAGTGTATAGGGGAGTTTGGGATTATTCTTTGATCTTCTTTACTGTTTTACTTGTATCTTGGGTCTGTCTGGCTCTAATTGAGTTTTTGTGATTTGTTCCCCTGACTTCACCCATCCTTGGGTTTGGCTGGCACAAATGGTATTGTGTCTCTGTCCTCTATCTCCCTGACCAGGGTGGTTTAAGGTGTATATTCTCTGGTTAGGGAGGCGGGGTATAAACCATTTGCTCTCAAATGTCCTTGGTTAGGGAAGATAAAGTCTTGTGATTTATTAGTTGGCTGTAAGTTGTTCAAATTGTTTGACTTTGTTTAATTATCTTGTCTCAGTTTCCCCATTTCACTTGCCCAGGAATTTTCCTCTCTTCTTATCCTGCTTCAATAAGGGCCTGAAAGAGGTAGATATGAAGTAGATGGAGAATGATTAGAAATTTTGGGAACAGGGATATGGGGAAGCTTGGAAAAGGCTTTATGGAAGAGGTTAATATTTTAAGTAATGAGTTGAGTTTATACAGGGAGAAAGGTGTTCTAGATCCGCTCCATCCAGTAGAAATGTAATGTGAACAACATATATCATTTAAAATTTCTGATAGCCACTTTAAAAAAGAAAAAAGAAACTGGCAGAGTTAGTATATTTTATTAATTCTGTCATATAAATATACTGTTGTTTTAACATGTAATCAGTTTTTTAAATTGTGACTTTTTGCCTTTATTTTTTTGTACTAAGTCTTAATATTCCAATGTATGATTTACATTTACAAGGTCTCAAATCAATCTACTAACCATATTTTAAGTGCTCAGTAGTCAGACGTGGCAGTGGCTACTATGTTTGGCAGTGCAGGTCTAGATGGGTAAAACTCAGAAAAAGTATATAGAGCCAGACAATAGGAATATAGTGTGGGAGAGGTAAGTTTTTCATTTTAGCATGGAGGGGAATAATGGGAGCTGATGCTGAAATGATAGCTTGTGGGGAGATCATGAAGAGACTTTTAAGGCATATCTAGGTGAATTACTTCAAATAAAAAGAACTATCTTAAATTTTCTTAGTATGCTGAAATTCACTGATAGTGTACTGGGGTAATACCCAAAGATTGGTATAAAAGCATATATTAACATTTTGAATTATGTGTTCAGAATTTCAGCCTATGTTTGGAATCTAAGCTGGAAAACAATCCAGTGGAAAATAACATTACTGTTTCAACTCCGCTCACTCAAGCAAAACTTGATACAGGGGAGAGTAAATTTCCAGGTAATAACACTTTGAAAATATTATTTGGATTTCACAGTGTTCAGAAATGTTTTTCAGTATAACAGGAAGCCATATGGGCTACCAGATAGGCCTATTAAATCCTTTTTAACCATTGCTTATGTTTTTCAAATGTGTGATTATCACAATTATTTGAAGAAGAATTGTTTCTGTCGATTGGCTTGTTTAAAGAACTTAAGTATGATTCTTTGACTACTTCCTAAAAGTTCTTTTGTTTTAAATGTTTTATTTGTGACTTACTCTCTGGAGAAGTATTACTTAATGAATTACTTCAGTTAGTGGTAGAAATGTATTTTTCAAATATAAATATGCTTTACCATTTCAGGTTTTTATCTTCAACCCTCACCCAGTTTTCTATTTTAGTGATTCTATCTTTGAATTAAAGACTTAATAAATGCTACATTTTTTCACTTATACTACATACAAAAAGTTATTTTTGTAATCTTGTGAAAATTTTTTGACGTGTTATTTGAAGTGTTGATAGGGATTTGCTCACTTATGTCAGATGAAACACCAGGGGATATAGAAAAGAAATTCTTAATTCATGTGGTTTCTCTCTGCTAAAGGGAAGGTATACTTGGAGCAAAATATTGAGGTCAGATAATTTCTTCCATTGGATGTCATTTAACCCTTTAGTGGGGAACGGGGCAGTATATATACTATGAACTTGAGAAATGTATTTATGCATTACAAAATGAATCAGTTATTGCATTATTTATTAATGTGATTAAAACTACAGACTGCAGTTTTTTAAACAAATACTTTTTTTTTTTTACCCTTACCAAAATACATTTTTTTCATTGCTTTTTTAGAGAGAGAGGAGGGGAGAGAGAGAAAAATTGATGTACGAGAGAAGCATCGATTAGTTGCTTTCTATCCACGCCCAGACCTGGAATTGACCTCTCAACCCAGGCATGTGCCCTGATGGGGAATTGAATCCTGAACCTTTGGTTACAGGACAGTGCTCCAACTAACTGAGCCACACCAGCCAGGGCAGAAATGTTTTTGTTTCTTTTCATTTAGAAGTTATAGATTTATGCAGGCATTTAAATAATTTCCTTTATTGTTCAGTGCTAGTAAATATTGGTGAAATTAGAGGCATACTGTAGATCTTTGTGGCTTTTCTGCCTCTTCTCTGAAGAGTAATTTCTAGGAAGGGGCTCTAATTTTATCAAGTGATCTTTAATAAAAATAAAGCATTTAATGTATTGTGCTTTTTCTCTTCTGTAAAGTGATTTTGAACTATTAAATGGAGAGCTAGTACAACGCTTAATGCATAACCCATCTTAATTAAATTACAGATTCACCTCCCAAACAGCACAGTATACTCAATAATCAAACATCTATGACCAGTGATAACAGGTAAGGTAATTGTTTAATATATGAGGGGGGTTCCAAAAAACCCTGGAACTTATTTATAAGGAGTTATGCATTTATTTTTACATGCTTAAACTTCAGTCACCTTTGAAGTATTTTCCATTTGATGCCAAGTATTTTCTATTTGATAATAGGTGTTTTTTCCTATCAAGGCTGCTCAAAAATTGTCTGCTTTGATGCCTTTTAGTGCTTTTGCCATTTTTTGTTTCACCTCTTCCACATCAACAAAATCTTTCCCTTTGAGTACTTTTCTTATCCTGGGAAACAAAAAGAAGTCGCTTAGGGCAAGATTGGGTGAATAGGGAGGGTGGGACACAGGAGTCATGCAGTTTTTTGGTCAAAAACTGCTGAACACTCAATGCAGTGTGGGAAGGTGTGCTCATAAATCACCCATCATGAAATGGGCAGATGCATTGAGTCTTCAAAAAAAAATTCACTGAAGCTGAATACAGCCTCTCACAGTAACACTAGCTGGTACACTGGTACAGATGGGTTCTGAGAACCCACTCACCTAGGGGGGAAACTTATACTACAAGGGACCTACCCTCCAGAAGATAATTTCAGGTTTGTTTGGGTCCCCCTTCATAGGTGTAAATATGACAACAGCTAAAAGATAAAGTGAGGTGTATTAAAAATTTTGTTTATTTGAGCAAAGCCACTTTGAATTGAACAGCATTCACTCTAGCAGATAGAAAGGAGCTTTGAGCAATTGTACAAAATTAATCGTCAGAAGAGAGTGGGCAAAAAAGGTGGGTTGGTTATGCAGTTACTTTCCTTAGGGGATAGCAGGGGTCTGTCAGGCAGATCAAATGATTCCTCATTGATTTAATATTCTATTTCTGGGAGAACCAAAACTATTTAGATGACTTGGGGGCTAAGCATAAGCCACTGAATTTTTTATCTGCCTTCCTGTTTTTATAGAATTTAAGGATTTTAACCTGCAAGTTTGAGATTTACAGGTTTTTTTCCCACCAGAAAGTTATGCTTGTAACCCTCAGTTTTTTACATAGACAGTTATATTCACAGATTCCATTTTTCATTGTATATTTTTTTCTATGCCTATATATACTGTTTTATAACTTTTGTTTTCTTTTCTTATTGTATTATGGACGTCTTTTTTACTATCTTACCTCATTCTTTTTAAATCTGCATTAGATTTCATTCCTTACTTAACAGTTCACATTATGGACATCTTGGTCACTTCTAGTTTATTCATATAAAAAAAAAAGTCCCGTAAGAAGTATACTTAAAAAAAATCCTGTAAGAAATATATCTTTACCCACTTATGTGATTTACATCTAGGATAAATTTCATAGCTGTAGGACTGACTTAACCTGCATTGCCAAATTAACCTCCCAAGTGGTTGTTACCTTCTTATTCTTGGAGCAGGCATTTGAGAAAACTCCTTTACTTAAACCCTGTGAAATTCTGTGTTTGAAGTAGCTCAGAAGCTTTTTGTTGTATCTTTAATGTCAGAATTAAATTAAATCTGACTTATTTTACTTTACAGATTACTGAAAACAAGTGTTTAGGACAAATTGTAGTTACTCAGGTGGTTAAAACTATAAAACTTACTCAAATTACAGTAAACGCTACAGTTTTTTGTTTATTTTTGAGCCTTAGTAGTGTTCTTGGGTTTTTCATCCCTGATTTTTAAAAGGTTAGTTTTTTACCCTTGGAGTTAAAATTTGTCAGTGTTAGGTAGAAAATAAGTTATTTTTTTTCCTCCAGTAATTTGCAGTGATACAGATCTGTAACATTTAATAGTTTTTTTGTTTTGTTTTGTTTTGTTTTCTTAAAGAGAAACACCACCAAATCATTCTTGGCCTAAATGTAATTCCCATTTGGAGATAACAATCCCAAAAGACTTGAAATTAAAAGAAGCAGAGAAAGCTGATGAAAAACAGTTGATCATAGTAAGTATACAACTTGACCTTTTTGGTGAGGTGTTGTCATAAGTATTTTATTTATGCATTGTTAAAGAATAAATTCGTATCTTTTTTTTTTTGGCACTATAGATTTTCACTATAGCAGTATTCCTGATAATCATATCAAATTTTTCCCAACCCCCAAGTAGTGAGTTCATCATAACAAATAATAAAATAATAAACATTCAAATTTAAATATTTAGTTTTATTTATAACATTGATTATTTTATATGTTACTTTAAGTATGTCATTTGAACTGTCTTTTAGTAGTTGGTTTAAATATTAAAATAACATGGATCTTAATACATAGGATGATTTTAAATATCTATATTTTAGTAGATGTTATAATTTTAAAACTACATTTTATGGGAGGATAAATTAATAGTTAATTTGAAATAGAACATAGGTACTTTACAATTCGGTTGCAAGGTAGAAAAGAGAGCAAGATGTTTTCATTGATTAAAAATCAATTTGAGTGAACACAATATGAAAAAATGAAGAGACCCAAAATAATAGGGACATTTAATGTAGTTTCTGTCAACATAACCAATAGGACTTATGGGGACTGGATGGTTGATTCTAAGGTTAATGTGGGAGAACAACTTTTCAAGAATTGTCTAGACATTTTTGAGAGGGATTAGTGAGAGAAAGATTTGTTTTATCCAATTTAATAATGTTTCTGTTGTCAAATTAGTATGATAGTGAAAAAGGATTAGACTAGTAGAAGCTAGGACTTCACTGTCCAATGTAGTAGCCACATCTGGCTTTGAGAATTTGAAATGTGGCTCATCAGAATTGGGATATGTTGTAAGTGCAAATATAAATACTACATTTCAAAGATGGGTAAAAAGAAAGAATGTAAAGTAAATCACTAATAAGTTTTTAAAATATTTAATACATGATAAAATTATAATATTTGGAATAGGTTTTGTTAAATACATTGTAAAATTAATTTCACTTTCCTTTTGCATTCTTTAATGTGGCTACTAAAAGATTTAAAATTACATTTGTGGATCACATTTCTATTGGGTAGTGCTGGTCAGGAGATGGTGATGGTAGTGGTGATGATGATAATGATAACAGCTAAGGCTTTTTGAATATATTTTTCTGTGTACTCCACTCATATTAAGTTAAGCCATATTTTGAAAGCATGAGATCAATACTACCATTATTTCCCATTGATCGGTGAGGAAATTGGGGCAGAAATGCTTACTCATTACTATGAAAACTAAGTGGATGAATGAATAAGCAAAATGCAGGTTATACACATGATGGAATATTATTCAGCCTTAAGAAGGAAGGAAATTCTGACACATGCTACAACACGGTTGAACTTCGAGGATAATTAGTGAAATAAGCCAGTCACTAAAAGACAAAGACTGTGTGATTCCGCTTCTGTGAGGTACCTGGAGTAGTCAATTTCATAGAGACAGAAAGGCCCAGAACACATTCACTGAATGCAGGGGGAGGACAGCCAACAGGGCAAGTCTGTGCTAAACTGTGCATGTCAAAGTCCCTAGAGTGCCTTCACTGCAGACACTCCTTTTTTTTTTTTTTCCATTGTCTTTCCGAGGGAAGTCTTCAAGAACCAGGTGGTTACCTAGAGCTGGGTGAAACAGGCATTGGGGAGCTGTTTAATGAGTGTAGAGTTTCAGTTTTGCAAAATACAAAGGATTCCGGAGATTGGTTGTATGACACTGGAAATATATTTAACATTACTGAACTGTACACTTGAAAATGGTGACATGGTAAATATCATGTTGTATGTGTATCTTAACCACAATTACAAATTGTTTTTTCTGCCTGAAATGATTTTGCAGGTAACTAATTTTTTAAATAGTTTGAGTCATTTAGAATTAACTTCCCTTTAGTTTTATAGTGTTTTATTTACCATTTGATTTCTCTTTGCTATTTGACCCTAGTTCTAAGGCACTGGAGATACTGTTATCTTAGATTCTATTTTATTTTTTTCAATAATTAGTTCAAATAGCACCACAGTTTTAGAGCAGAAAGATAAAAAGGATTTTTAAAAAATTTTAAAGTTAGATCATTTTGCTGAAATTTTCTTGTTGAGTAAGGCCAAGAATAGAAAACACTTTGTAAACAGGTACTTTTCCACAGTGCAAACATGAATTACTGGAGAATAGATGATTGTAGTCAGTCTTTGGTATGTATTTAATATAAAGATTTAATTTTACCTTTTCTCAAGATTTTCAGGTGACATCAGAATACTGTTTTTAATATCTACCAATGAGAATAAAATCATTAAAGAGAACAGATTTTTAAGGTATTAAAAAGAGTGTGTACAACACTATTTTCTCTAAACTTCAGCAATATAAATATTGCAGATAAAAAATACTCATTTGTAGAGTATTTTGCTATTTGGGGGATTTAGGACTAAGATGATAGTTTATGTTAAAGATATTTCTCAGTTCCTTTCAGTTGTTATTTAATGCCATGCAGAGTGATCAGATTATTAAAATGGAAACAGTGTGTGATAAAATTGCACACAGATTTCAAAGATTAACATTTCATTTTTGTAATCAACATAATAAGTAACATAAAATGTAACATAATAAGTAACATAATATGTTACTTATTATAGATTAAGTACTTCTCACTTTACTTTTACACCATAGCTTTAGAGGCTAATGTCCTAGAATTATTCTTTTGGGAGAAAAAAAGATTTTGTTTGTTTTTTATAAATAGGATGCGGGACAAAAAAGATTTGGAGCAGTTTCCTGTAATGTTTGTGGCATGCTTTATACAGCTTCGAATCCAGAAGATGAAACACAGCATCTGCTCTTTCACAACCAGTTTATAAGTGCTGTAAAATATGTGGTAAGTGCAGTTCATGATTTCTAAAATGCAAGATTTTAAAGAGATGAACTGCCAAATTTAAGTCATTGATTATGTCTTTTTTTAAGAAATGGCAATATTATACAAACCCCTTATATATGTGGGGCTTATTTTTAAAACAAAGCTAAATATAAAAACCAGCTAATTTATTCTGTCTGGTTTATGTTGTGGGATTTTTTTAAGTTATATTTTTAAGGTAGTTAATGTATCTCTTCTAACAAGTCATGCTATTCAACTTGAGTACTTTTTAAAGTTTTTTTGATTTTAATAATTAGCTATTGCTCAGTCTGTTTAATATTATATGGCTTGACACAACTTTTTATTTGGGGATTGATAGTGCTATATATTATATCAAATAGATGATTTGGGGATTTCCTTTACCTTCTCTTTTTTTGCTATCATGAGAGGCTTTCTTTATAAAATTTAAAAAGAAGGTTAAGACCTCAGAATTTATAGTGTACTAAAAAAAAAATCCCACAAAGTAAATATGTTCTAGTATATATTTTTAATGTATGTACACCTGAGACATAATAGGTATTACTTACTATTTTTTTTTCAGTAAATAGCTGTTCTAAATAATTTGGATAATTTTAGGTATTTTATGAAAATAGTATTTAATGTAATTGCTGTTTATCTGTATCTGAAATGGAATCTATTTTTATTCCATACATGTTACCTTCAGTACTGTACACTCACATTAATAAGACCTCCAGGATATCTGAACTGAGATCACCAATTCATTTCATGTAGACCCTTTTATATGTGTATAGGCACCAGATGTTGGATTATTTAAAGATCTCTATTGACTTCAGTTAAATTTGTCTCCTTACCTTTGGTTGAAGGATTCATATTCATTGTTTCAATCATCCAGATACTTCTACCCAAGATAGGTGGGGTTTTCTTTTTATGGTTCCTTACTGTGGTGATCCTTTATATTCCTTATTTCATGTACCTTTTCCATACACACCCCTTCCTACCACTTAACTAAATAAAATATAAGGTGTGTAGACATAGAATATTTATAGCTTAGATATGGATCTATTATTTGAACTTTGTATTTTTCTAATTTGTCTATATTAATATCCTTACAACTTGAAAAATATTTCTGTCAAGTAGCTAAATTATGGAGCACTTCAGGGATAAAAATTATTTCAGGGTTTTTTTTTAACATATGTGATTCTGCTAGAACTTAGTTTAAATGAGTTCTGCTTAATTTACATTATTTGATTCTTGTCATCAGTTTCCTAAAAGTATAAAAGATTATGCTTAAAAGGCTTATTCTTCATTGTAAGGGAGTCTCTTGATTTCTGACAGAAACATTAAGGAAATCAATTAGGATATATGCACTCTGCTCTCTACAATACAAAGGGAAATTGGTTTATGAAACAAGGTGAAGTCATCTCCTTCTAAACAAATTCTAGGTCTTATAAACTATGAAGTACTGTAGCAATTTAGGGAAAACTGATTTGTGCCCCAGCTTTCCTCCTCCTCCCCTTTCTCCCTTGATGGGACAGAGCTATAGGTTATTTGATTTATTTTTGAAATAAGCTCAAGAGAAGGAATTGAGTTTAGCCGCTGGATATCCTTTGCTAACATCAGGGTCATTATTCTTTTCACTTTTTTCAAATGTAGGTATATACAGAGTCTAAGGTAGAAAGTCCTCCAAAACAGTGTAGCATTCTTTTTTAGTGTATGGAAAGAGAATAAAAATATACTCATATTGAAGATGTTCCACCGTGATCACAGCTCTGGATTTTAGGTTGTGACATTAAATGCTGATTGGGTACCTAGTATTGTGTTTTAGCATAGTGCCTTTTCCTCCGGTTTTTGTTAAGGTATAATTGAATATTAAGTACTCTAAAGTGTCTGACAAACTAAATTTGTTTAATCCCAATTATATTTTATGTTTGTTTCTCGGAGAGAAGCACATAGAAAAGAAGTCATTTGGTGCTCTGGTTTTAATTTGTTTCAAATAGAGAGTGTTCAGGGACCTGAAATGAAGTTTTGTTCTACTTAAGACTATATAAAAAAGAATAAATTAGACAAAGTTTTATTTTTAAAGTTATAATCAAACATTCCTTAGAAAATAAGTAGCTTTTCCTTAGGGTAAAAATTTTCCCTTAGACATGATAAATGTTTATGACAGTTAAAAATGGCTAAAGACCTATTTTCAAAAGATTAAAATAGTATTTAAATTATACAGTCATAATAGAAATTAATATCCAGTAAACCCATTTTTGGTTGACTAAAATATATTCTTTTCCTTATCCTCTTTGGTCTGGGGTAGGGGAGAGTGATGGTGCTCTTTCTGTTTTCTTCATTGTATTCCATTTGCCTCATTGACACAATTTCCTCACCAGAGGATATTTTTTCATTACTTTTTAGAGAGAGAGAAAGTGGGGGAGAGAGAGAGAAACATCTATTGTTTGCCTTCTCCTACCCTCACTGGGGATTGAACCCGAAACCTGGATATATGCCAGGTCTAGGAACCCAGCCTGGGACCTTTCTGTCTCTAGAATGACACTCCAGCTAACTGAGATATACCCACTGGGTCTTTTGAGGAAATGCATTTTATCTGATTTACTAAAACCTATTTTGGAAGGAGCCTGTTAGTACTTCAGGGAGATCTGGACTCTGTTTTAGACCTGAGAACACATCAGTTTCCCTTTATGAACTAAGGTGCTATTTCCTGAAGGTGTAAAGAGAAAGCAGAACAAATTCCCCCTACATCATTGAGTCATACTGCCAGGCCAGGAACTTATCCAGAACTCAACTTTATTTTGAGCTTTTAGTAATACAGAAGAGAAATAATGTTTGGGTTCTTACCCAAGAAACTCCTAACTTAATCCTTTTTTCTCTGTTTTTAATCTTTTTGGAATTAACATCTGACTGATGATCTGTGAAGGTGTAGGCCCCTACTCTTAAGGCATATGATACACCCTTGCCTTCAAGTTTAGGAACAAAGCCTGAAAAAAATGAGAAGTTAACAATAAAATATTGAAGTAACTTTTAAAGCAATATGTCAGTATTAACTATTTAGATAAAATGTAAATTAGCTCTGCAGTTTAAAAGTAATACTTTGCTAGAGCAGTGATGAGAGGGGAGCTTGTTTCCATGGGTGAAGAGGAATTAAGATTTGGTATTTTTAAAAATTGTTTATAAGGAGGTCATCTATGGTTGGTAGCATAGTATAACTAATGAGAAAGCTTAACATTCACTGTTGGGAATAATGAGTAGATCATTTTTACTGAACTAGAGATTTTTGTAGGTTATAACACTAGAAAGTTGCATCAAATCAGATTGTGATATTTTGATTTTGAATGCTAGGTAGACTTTATTCTTTCTGTTCTTTTAGATGTTGAAGGATTTTGAGTATTGTGAATCAGACAGTTAAGTTTAAATAATGTTGAAGTAATATTTTGGTGTTGTGTAAGGAAGGAAATGTTTCAGTGGTATGTAGGGAGAGTAGTGGAAGCTGTGTGTAGTGCTGGATTATGGCATTGGTGGAAATGGGGGAAAATTTATGACAAGGAAAACTTTGAAGAAAGATCTGATAGATCCCTGATTGCCCACAGAGCTGTACTATCCAGTACAGTAGCACTAAGCATAAAATTTAAAATGCTGTTCCTCAGGTACACTAGCCAGTGCTCAGGGTCCCCTATTACTGTAGATGTAGAACATTTGTTTTGTCACAGAGAGTTCTGTTGAACAGTGCTGCTGCAGAAAGCTGAGTCAAGGAAACCATGATCCAGTAACACATGCTTAAACTTTTAATTTCTCTTATGTGAAATTTTAATACATGTAAATTTACTTCTGAATATTCTGTCTTCCTTTGAAAGATGGTTAGCAAAGAGAGAAAACTGGGTATTAGAGAAAAGTAAAGTAAACAGTAGAGCAGGAATAGAAATTGTAACATGTTGGAAATGGGAAAGAATCTAAAGCAAAATAGCCCTGGCCATTAGAACTGTTCTTTGTCATCATTGGGGAATAGGGAGCAGGTAGGAGGACTCAGAACCAGGTTAGAGAATTTGGTGTGAGTTTCCCTGCTTAAAGGTAAGGCTGTGATACCCTGTTGAAAATAGAGAAATCGTATTTAGAAATGGGTAGGAATTACATAAAAATTACCAAATGTTTTATGTCTTGTTTGTGATTCTGTCTTCCCTGACTCTGATTTTTCATTTCTCTAATTCATTGTCTTAAAAGACTTAGAATACTATAATGTATAAATATAGGATGGGACCAGCACTGTAAATCTTACTCAGAAAGTAATTTTGCCTTGGGATGGGAGTGTATATAGTGGAGGAAAAATGCCTTTAAAATAAATGTTACTGCAACAAAGTTTTACATTTTTAAAAAGACTTCACAAACTCTGGTGAGGGGAAATCTGTAACATTATCTAGTGGCAAATAAAAACTTCTCCTGTCCTTTCTCTATTTCCCTATACTCAATACCTCAAGCTGAAAACTTCGAATAATCTTTTAGTTTTCTCTTTATATATTCCTTATACTCATTACATTAGCAAAACTCACCTTAAATAGAGTTCAGGTCCTCCCATTTTTGTCATGTTCACTGCTACTACTCTGAGCCAAGCTGCCATCATTTCTTACCTGGATGACTCGTGTAATGCTTTCCTAACTGGTTTTCCCTGTTTCCCTGCAGTCTTTCTCCATGGTGTTGACAGCAGTCTTAAAAACTTAAATTAGATTATGTCCTTTACTTAAAATTCTCCATTGAGCTCTCATCACACACAGGTTAAAATCCTGAGTATTTATTTACTGTGGCATCCACCTTCACATACTTCACCTTTTCTCATCTCATCTTCTAACACTCTTCTTACTTAATATACTCCAACATAGCTTTTGCTTCTGTTCTTAAACCACTCCAACCACATGCCATTTTTAGCATATTTGTACTTAACTTTACCTTTTCCTAGAGTATTCTCTCAGATCTTTACACCCTTGCTCTCTTTATTCAGACTGATC